ATATGGGATGACGAACAGAAAGTGCCATATCTTGTAGATGGAGACCAATGGGTTGGCTTCGATGACGAGCGATCCATTCGAGTTAAGACTAAATGGCTGTTAGAGAATTTATTAAATTTCTAAATTTATTAAATTTTAAAACAATTCTAGGAATTTGGTGTAAAAATGTGGGAACGAATGGGAGCGCCCAAAGACAAGATAGTTGTGGGACTGGCTACTTATGGTTAGATATATGCATTTTAGATGATTATACACTTTATTAAAGTTGACCACAAAATATCATTATAATTGGTGCAAACAGGTCGTAGTTTCACTCTAACCAACCCTTCAAACAACGGTATGAATGCCCCGACATCAGGAGGAGGAAAAGCTGGTGAATTCAGTCGAGAGTCGGGATTCTTAGCATTTTATGAAATCTGCGAAATGATGAAGAATGGCGCCACTTATATATGGGATGACGAACAGAAAGTGCCATATCTTGTAGATGGAGACCAATGGGTTGGCTTCGATGACGAGCGATCCATTCGAGTTAAGACTAAATGGCTGTTAGAGAATTTATTAAATTTCTAAATTTATTAAATTTTAAAACAATTCTAGGAATTTGGTGTAAAAATGTGGGAACGAATGGGAGCGCCCAAAGACAAGATAGTTGTGGGACTGGCTACTTATGGTTAGATATATGCATTTTAGATGATTATACACTTTATTAAAGTTGACCACAAAATATCATTATAATTGGTGCAAACAGGTCGTAGTTTCACTCTAACCAACCCTTCAAACAACGGTATGAATGCCCCGACATCAGGAGGAGGAAAAGCTGGTGAATTCAGTCGAGAGTCGGGATTCTTAGCATTTTATGAAATCTGCGAAATGATGAAGAATGGCGCCACTTATATATGGGATGACGAACAGAAAGTGCCATATCTTGTAGATGGAGACCAATGGGTTGGCTTCGATGACGAGCGATCCATTCGGGTTAAGACTAAATGGCTGTTAGAGAATGATTACGCCGGCGCTATGGTATGGACTGTCGATATGGACGACTTCACCGGTAAGTGCTCCGGAAGGAAGTACCCGCTGATTGAGGTTATGGGCGAAGAACTCATTGGACGACCAAAATCCACGTCAAATCTCGAGTCAATTGTACAGAAGGCGTCGTCTAATCCGTTAATCAAAGTCTCGGTTCCCAACACTGAGTCCAATATAATTCATGAGAAACCAGATCTGACGCCAACTACCAGTGATTCCATTAAATCTAATGCTTTGGCTAATGATGACGAGACAAATGCCAGAATAGTCTGCTATTACACCAACTGGTCAAACAAGAGGCCGGGTATTGGCAAGTTTGAGCCGGAACACTTGGACCCAACTCTTTGCACACATATTATCTTCGCGTTTGCGAACCTCAACAGTGAATTCAAGATCAGTCCGAGTGAAGAGAGCGATGAAACCCACGGCTCTCAAACAGGACTTTACGATCGGGTGCTCGCAATCAAAGCCAAGAACCCAAACCTCAAAGTAATGATAGCAGTGGGAGGTTGGATGATGGGTCCGACACCTTTCAAACAACTCACCGAAAATACTTATCGCCAAACTCTCTTCATATTCAATGCAATTGAGTTTTTGCGCAAAAAAGGTTTAGCATATTAATTTAATCGTGTTGAAACTTATCAAGGTGGTTATATTACTTATTATATATTGAAAGGGTTCGACGGACTGGACATCTGTTGGGAGTTCCCGCGCGGGGCAGAAGACAAGGAGAAATATGTCTCTTTGATTAAAGTATGCCTTCACTTACTATTTGGTATTTGTGACAATATTTTAAATGTTTTGCAATTAATATGTGAATTAAGGAATTGAGAGAAGCCTTTGATGGAGAAGCGAAGGGCTCGTCTAAATCGCGACTATTATTGACAGCAGCAGTTCCCGCGAGCTTTGAGGCGGTCACCAGTGGTTTTAATGTCCCAGAAGTCAATAAGTATGACTTATATTAGTATTAAGTAATCATTTTTCAATTATGTTTAATCATCAATTGTTTCAGATATTTAGATTTTATGAATATTATGAGCTATGACTTCCACGGGGACTGGGAGCAAACGGTTAATCACAACTCACCATTATTTCCATTGAACACAGCATCTGGATATCAGAAAAAGTTAACCGTGGTATTTATTAAGAATGTGAAAATAATTGTTGAGTCCTTAAACTGTTTGCTTATGAAAAGGACTTCAGTGTAGCCGAATGGGTCAACAAAGGCGCCTCCAAAGAAAAATTAGTGGTTGGCCTCCCGACCTATGGTATGATTTTGCTATTTAATTAATCATTAAATGGCAGTTTAATTAATGACTAACATTTATTAATCTCAACAAAAGGGCGCACCTTTACTCTATCTAATCCCAATCACACTGATATCAATGCTGCGGCTGTTAAAGGAGGTCAACCCGGGCAGTATACTCGAGAGTCGGGATTCTTGGCTTTCTTTGAAGTAAACCATATTTTTATACTAAACTTATTGTAAATACTGTTTTAGATGCTAATCATATTTGCAATTGAATAGATTTGTGATCTCTTGAAATTGGGGGCCACTTTGGTCTGGGATAACGAACAAATGGTTCCCTACGCTTATACTGGCGATCAATGGGTTTGTTATTATTTAATTTTAATATTATTATTTATAATGTAATGAATTATTTTTTAACTCACATTTTAGGTCGGATTTGATGACCCGAGAAGTTTTAAAGTTAAAGTAAGACTTAATATTTAACATTTGAATTTTTTGATTATTTTAATGTTTTGAAATTTAGGTTCAATGGCTAAAACAAGCGGGATATGGAGGCATAATGATCTGGTACAGTACAGTGTAACATTGTCTTATAAGAAATAATAGTAATAATGATGGATATATTGTGATTACAGGTCAATAGACATGGATGACTTCAGTGGCTCATGTATGGGACAAAAGTTTCCATTAATACATGCGGCCAAAGAGGAGCTCAAGGGCTACAAAGTGGCCAATTTGGAGGCCCAGAGCAGTAATATTAATACAGCTATTGGACAGGCGTTGGGTTAGTGATTCATATCCTCGTTATTAATAAATCCGTTATTTATATTGAATATATTTATAGAGAAAAATAAAGATGAAGTCAAATGTGAGGAATCTGATGGACACATAAGCTATCATAAGGACAAGACTGACTGCACGATGTATTATATGTGTGAAGGCACTCGAAGGCATCACATGCCGTGTCCGCAAAATCTCGTATTTAATATCAATGAGAATGTGTGCGATTGGCCCGAGAATGTGGAGGGCTGTGGTGTGGCCGCAACCACACCGTCATAAACTATACTTAAATTATAAATTAGTTCAAGTGCCGAATATTTTGCGATCATATTCAAAGTTTTTATATTATATTTGTTAAATTATATTTTTTATAGCACTTTAAAAGTTTTTTTATCTATGTAATTTTTTAATATAAAAATTATTGAAAAATTTTAGACTTAAAATACTCATTAGAAACTAATGATACAAATAACAAAATATTTATGAACTTTATTTTTATTTGATTTTTCTCATAATGGTATAATATTATAAATATAATGATAAACATATTTATTATAAATTATAATATTATATTGAATTAAATGCACGAGACATAATATAAAGTTATGATACAATGTTGCAATTTTAAGAGTATATGAATCATTGTAACGGTACTGTAAGTTACAGAAATGTCACTGCAATATGAATTATGTTTTACAGATAAACTTAAAGTCAATTAAAGAGCTCTCGCAACAGTAGACAACTAGT